TATTCCTCCTTATACTGGCCAAGAACTTTCAGATAAATATATGAATACAGTCATTCAAGCATGGGTATTTGCTGAAGGACATATGACAACTCTTGAAATGCAATTACTGGAAATTTTAATAATGCAGTCAAGTGTACTTTATTAAAATTTAAGATGGGTGGAAAATATGCTCTAGTACATACGAATAACAGATTAGTAGTAGGAAATTCAGCTATAAATACTTTAAATACATTACGGATCTAGTTAAAAGCAAAATATCAGTGAGAGACAGTTGGAAATCAACAGTCAGCTATTCAGAGATTGACTCAAGAAAAGTTTCAACCTTATAACATCCTAGATACTTATGAGACTAGAATTCATCCTCTTCTACTAGGTGTAGCAGATAATAATGCACAAGTTTTAGGATTTCCTAAAAGTCAATTATTAGGTGATCTTTACACTTGGATGAGAATTGCAAATCTAGCGGGTATTGATTCAGTTTTTACTGAATTGAAAAATTTGTGGTTGGAGCGTCCTCCCAATTTAAATAGGGAACAAACTTCTCAAAATAATTTATTAGCTAAGATTGAAAAGTTAAATTCCCAAATAGCCTCTCTACAGGCGTAACTAGCACAACATGCTCAAGTGCACCTTCAGAATAATGAAGCCTCGGTCAATTTTGAAAAGTTAAATTTCAAAATAGCTTCTTTAGAGACACAGTTAACAGAATCAATGCAGGTGCATTCTAAACTTACCCAACATTTACAGCTACTAGAAAATGTAGTTAATTCAAATAATGCTTCAATCTTTGATAGTTATATTAATCAAGAATTGGAAAAAAGATTAGGAGTAATCGAAATTAATTTAGCCAAACTTACCAAACTCATAAGAGAATATACCATAGATACCAAATCAGCTCAGTATCAGTGTTTAGAATTCTCAGACTATAATAATAGAGGATTAGAAAAAAGATTAGAATGAATTGAAGCCCACTTAGCTAAATTTACTAGAAAAGATACCAGAGGTACCAAAATATCTCAGCGTCAATGCTCAGAATTCTCACCTTTTAGAGAATTCAAAAAAAGATTAAGATAAATCGAAGCCTTATTGGCTAAACTCGCTAAAGATTCTAAATCTAGAAGTGATTAAGTTCATATGACTATAGTAGATGAGCAGTCTGATTTCATTTTTTCTGATGATAATACATTAAAATCTGAGGATAATAATTATAACTCTGATAATTCATCAGCAGTTTAGACTCCAGAAAACGTGATATGAATGTTTACATAACTCATGGAAAAAAAAATGAATTATACAGTCCCTTTAGGACCTACTGAGCAATATAGGCATTTTGATAAATTCTCAGAGTCTAAAGTCTCTAATAAATCTGAGCTTCATAAGGTAAAGCAAGACAATAATTCATCTTCTACCCATAATGTCTCATCAGAAAAAAATAACCAAGGTAAGTGAGTAGCTTTAGAAAACTATTCACAAATTCATTCAGATCGAATTTGAGAATTATCTTTTGTACATAATTCAGTAGATTAAAAAGTGTGAGTCCATCACTCAAGACTTGGATGACGAGTCTATTGATGGTTCTATAGAGATAGATTCATCTGAAAAAAGAAACCCCACAAGCATTATAACAATAAAGTGTAAGATTAGACGCTTACGAATCCTAGCTATAGTACTTAACTTCAGCTCTGAGATTGCTATCATAACAGAGGATATTATATTATGCATAAGGATTATCATTGATACGTTCATAAAACATGACCTTAATGGCATTGCTATTGTACCAGTTGAATTTATTGGAGTCATTTATAATATACTGATAACCTTGACTCCTGAATTTACTATATATGAAGATTTTATAGTTGTAAAATACTCTAAGCTAATGCTGATATTTTCAAATCCTCTTCTTAAAAAATATAAATATGTAATTGATTAGGACAAGAATGAGTTGAAGATTCTCTATAATGGCAAGGATTTAATTATTCTGATCACTATACACAAAGATAAGAATAAGCTCAAGATGAATTGTATAAATGTTATTCTCAAATGTGATGCTTTCTTGACCTCAGACTGTATTTTGCAGGATTTAAGCCAGGACGACTCATTAAAAAAAAAGTGAGTTATGAGAAGCTTGAAAAAATGCTATATAGTACTCTTAAGTATAATGCAGAAATCAATGAGTATTGTGAAAAATTACAGATACGCTATGATAGACTTCTTAGAGAATAGGTGAGTTATTTTTCTAATATATTCTTCATATTTGCTATATTTTTTGTGTTCCTTTCTACCACCTTCTCATGCAATTCCTCATTCTTTATATCAGAAGTTTTTAAATTTACTGAGATCAGTTGAGTTTGAATAGGAGATGGTATTAGCAGTGGTATCTTATCCTTGAACTTCAATTTCTTTCCTTCAGCCTTTTTTGCCTTTTCACCTTCTTCTAAAACTGAATTAATAGATTTGCTAAGCTCTATTTTAGTATTATGTATTTGTTTTTTCAGTTTTGCAAATGGAAAAACATCTTAGTCTTGGATCTTTAGCTCGATCTGCCTATCTACAACATTTATATTAGAAAACAAAGAGTTTCTTCAGGACAAGCTGTTGACATATGAATTGGTTGATTCCACTCAACCCTATTTTTTTCTTCACCTCTCTAGATCTAATAAATACGTTTTTACGATATGTGATATTTATCTGTTAAATTCTTTAAAACTTTATCTCTAGGCTTTTTTCAGCACATTGCATAATATGATCATAATCAGCTAGTGAAAAAGGAGGGGCATCATATCTCATGCGTCAGCTAAGCATAGTAGCAATATTTTTTTATATCTAATATAATACTTCGAAATAATTTATTAAATAGGATATATAGAAAGAATATATTATTCTGAATATATAGGATATATAGGATATATAAGAAGATAATATTCTGGACGTATAGGATATACAGGATAAACAGGATATTTAAAAAGAATGTATTATTTTGAATAAACAGATTATGTCTATTATCTCAGAAATTTATTTGTGCATTTTTTTTCTAATATATAACTATGCTAATATTATGTCCAATATGCATATATTAAATAATATAAAAGATAGAGAGGGTGGTTCTTATAAAAACCTGATCATCGGCTGAGTAGTGTATATAAGCAAGAGCTCAAAAAAAATTAAGATCTGTTACCAAATTTAACTTTGAGATTAATGATCTCAGTGAAAAGCTGATAGATAAGTACAATGAGCGAGGAAAGAAGTCTCAGTGAACCTATGCTGATATTGGAAATAAGATTAGCCAGTTAAATGCGTCTAGCGCTAAAGTTAGATCCCAACTTATTTTTAAATGAAAGTCTCATTCTGAAAGTCAACATGAGCTTGAAGCCAAATATTCTGCTAAAATCCAATCGCTCAAATCAAAGATTAAAACATTGAAAAGAGAAGGAACTTTGATTCAGAAAGCTTTGTCTGCTGACAAGATCAAGATTCTCTCTCTCTCTTGAAGTTAAAATACATAAATTAGAAGGTAAGTTGAAAGATATAGATCTAGAGCATATATATCATAATTTAGATATAATAGAAGGGGTAGTAGAAGAGCCAGTCCAAATAAGCTCATTCAATCCTAAAGAGATTGATTTTCTCAGACTTAAATTGGAGTAAGTGAAGGAAGACCTTAATTTGAAAAAATATATAATAGAATGTATGAAAAAAGGTATAGAGGCGTCAGATAACATATACAAATAGAAGCTAGATTTCTTATCTTCAATGCGATTAAATTTACTGGAGAAAAATACTTATCTTCAAGAATTACTGTTAAAGAAAAAGCCAAGAGGCGCTTTGTATAATAAAATAGATACTCCATTTCCACTTATAAATAATTTATCATGCACAGCACCTTCTGGCCAACCTTCTACTCATCCCAAATAATTTCTGTAGGTAGTGCAGAAAGGTATCTTTACCAGCAATTGCTCCTATTATCACAAGCTCCTTGAAGTTGCCTATGTTAATATATTCTATACTTACCCTAGTACTTATTGTGATTATAAGGTTCATAGCCAAAAAATGGTAGAATTCGTAGAAAAAAAGTAATACTGAGTATTCTTCTAACTGGAACTATTTTTTATTGTCTTTAGGTATTTCTGAGAATGGGTTATATGATCAGAAACTGGAAATTCGAAGATAGAAATTGAAGTTAGCCAATATTATTATACAAGAAAAAATATGTAGTCATAAATAATATTGCAAGTATTCTAGCAGAGGTGTGACAATTTTAGCTAAGAATATTTAATAATATAACCCATCTAAGTGCTTTTAGTTACATCCTCAAGATGGAAATACTATAAATTATTAATGTTGTCTAATGCCCTAATTTATGATATATGAGGTAAGGCAGGTAGGTCAGCAATTATCTCATTTTTTTGCATGGATAAAACTGGGCTGATTTTTTCTGAAATTGATATATGCTCTTTATAACGTATATAATAGACCAATTTGTGAAAGAATAAATTATACTCTTCAATACATTTTGTAAGCTCACTAGGATATCGAGCAAAATTAGAGCATATTTTTTCCTTCATTTCGTCATCTACTGAAAGGTTTTTATCTTTTGAAATTTTCCTAATGCATTTCATAAATTTCTCCCATAATACCTTAACAGGGTTACTTACCATAAAAATCTCGTAAATAAGCCATTCACTATAAAATATTTCATATGAACTACCTATCTTTTGATACAATATTTCTTGTGCTTCTTTGATTGCATTTTTATAAGCGTGTTTATAAACATTTCTACAGGATATCATCATTTTGAAAGTAATATCATTCATTATAATATTCTTTTTTACAAATCCCTCAAGTCATGACTTGGTCTTGTTTTGAGCATAATCATTGATCTGCTTATATTTCTTGTCTGAGTTTTCGATTTGTATGATTCTATTTGAGAATGCTAGCTCATATTTCTTGTCATATATGATAAATTGAGCATAGAGTTCAATAATAGTTTTTTCGAAATAATGTTATAAATCTAGTTCCTTTTCCAATTCCTTCGCCACATCAGCAAATTCCATTTTTTCACCTTTAGTTAATGTTAATTTTCTACTATGTAAATCAAAAGTATTTTCAGGGTGAGTCACTATATAAATAAAGTACTTGTCTAGTACTGGATGGAATCTTACTGTTATATTTTTCTCTCATTTAACTTATAAACTGCTGAACAGCTTTGTTGTCTACATCAGGTTTTCATGCATCGATCTCTATAAACTACTTGAAATCCCATTGTTTAGGATTAGTTATGGCATCTTTGAGAACGTTTTCAACAATTTTATGAAGAGAGCGTTCATTATTCACATCTCTGACTTCATTCATAATCTGTTCACTTATAATCTTAAAAAGCTGGGATTTGTCTTGTTTCATAGTATCAATTCCTCTAATAAAGGATTTTTTCAGACTAAAATTTACTGTATCTTTATGAGAGGTGCCAAAATATTTTTCTTCTCAGTGAATACTACTGGAAATAATACTTCTTCATAAGCCATTTTAAAATAATTTGATCTGGTTTTTAGTCTAAGAAAGGTGTTTACTTTATTATGTAATTTCTCTATTACGAATATAGTAATCTTAACCATTTTAGTCTAATACTCTAGTTTCAAAATTGTGTCTTTCTCATCGTTATAAGCTAAATCATATTTCTCATAACAAGAATCTGGACAAGTGAGATATAGGGAATTGGTATCACCATATTTTATTCCAAAACCTTTCTTTTTCACAAATTCTGCAATGAGTTTGATATTTTCTCGTCCAGCTGAAGTAACACCTCTAGCAAGTTTTATAAACTTGAATGGGAAATCACTATTACCTATCTCATCATAAAATAAATTTATAAACAATTTAATCACTTTCTGCTTCAAATTTGAAGAATTATGGTCAAAACAGACAGAATCATATTCTTTACTAAAACTATTATATAACAAACCAATAAAAGAATTCAGAATATCAATTATTTCAGCATACTTATTCTTATCTATTATTGAGGATAAAACATTTTCAATTACACTTGCTACTGAAAAAGATTCGCTGATATTAGTCGAATCTATTCTACTTTTAACTTCTTTCATATAGTCCTTTTTCTTTCTGAGAAGTTTTAGTTGGGCCTTTACTCTATTTTACATATTAAGCAAATTTTCTAATATTTTGAAAACAGATCTTTCTGATCAGATTTATTCTCATACCGTATGATCTATGCTCGTATGTTTTGACTATTAAAGCGAAATTCAATATTGTGAAGTACTTTGTTTTTCTTTTTAGCACATTCACTTTTGAAAATCTTGAAACTATTTTTCTGGCGAGAGATTATAGTTTATAATTATGTTAGGATACAAGAAAACAAAGTCTAAACCCATTATAAGACGTTTATTCTCAAGACCTTTCTCTGAAGGGAAAACATATACTACCGGATATTTCCCAGATTCTTTCTGCTTAGAAGCTTTCATAGTAAATAAAATATTCTGCGCCCATGCTTCAATGCCTGAGAGATTACATACTTTCTTTTCTATGGCGTAATAATGCGTATTGAATAAAATTATATATGCTATTGAAATGACTTCTCTATAATTATTTATGATATTACATTTGACTATAAGCTTCTGATAACGTAAAGCATCTATAACATAATAATTTATGATTTCATACATGTTTTAGTTGCCAGAGGTAACTGAAGTCCTATCTTTAGCTTTCAAATAATACTTTCATAATTTGCTTATAGGCATATCAACTTTGGCATCTAGACCACATTTTTCTAAGAAGAATTTGAGTGATATTTTCTCAAAGCGGGTGGAGTTGCATAAAACTTAAATAAACATCGATTAGTACATATCCCAGAAGCTTAAGAAAGAAGAATTCAAAGTTTAAAGTTGGGTTGATTTTGATATTGATAGAATCTCGACCTAATGCTTTTTTGGGTCACTTGTCCGCTTTTTTTTATCCATTGGCTCCTTTGGAAGAAACTATTAGTTAGTGGCTTTCTTCTTCTACCAATAATTCCAAGTGAGAATGGATTCAGCATTAGCTTTCTTATGCGGGTTTGCTAACATTCGCTAAATCATCCACTTGAGAACATTTAATTTAGTGGCCTTTTTTATAATGAAAGGCCAATCGTATCCTGAATTATTAAAACTGAGCTGAATATCTGAGGCAAAAGATTTCTAACATAAAGTAAATGCCTTTAAGAGATTGATCTAATTCCTACATATGATTGTGATCTAGTGTGGGTCTAGTTTTATTTCTACATTAACTAAACATATTCTCTCTAAAGGAATTAGATCGTCTTTCTAGTGTAGGGTCATGCAGATCATAAAAACTTAGGACATATCATTTTTCGCTTCTGAAAAGTTTTCTAATCTACGTGAATTATGTGTTTCTATATCTCATGTTAGAATCAATGCTCAATCATGAGTAAAGAGAAAAGATGAATAGATTTTATAAAGTGGTTCAAAATTCTCTATAGAGCAAAAATTATCAATATAAACAAAAATACATGTAGGCAGTGATGGGATCTCGCATAGTAAAGTGCATTATAATTATATTTACAATTGCTTAGACCCCTACCCGAAAAGTGGTATTCTATATTCAGGGTTAGGAAATTTGTATGTACTAGGCAAATTATGACCTTGTACTTGTACTGTACTGTATTAAATTTTATATTAATTATTACGTGTACTAACTGTACTAAATTGTACTAAGCTGTAATAACTGTACTAATTTCTCAACCCTGCCTATATTCTTTTGTAACTTTACGATAATATGTGCCTGTATCGTCTGAAGCTGTTTCTATTTTACATTCAAGATCAACTTTGGAATTATAGCTTGAGATAATATTGAGAGCAGTAAACCTTTGGTCTTTATTAGGTATAACAATATGGAAATACAGCTTTTTTTTACATGATAATCATAGATAGGGTACGCCTTTATATATTCCTTTCAGAATAGACTCATATTTACAGTGCCTCTATTCTTATCTTTTTCAGTGATAAGTATGTCTTTATTTTGGACTAGAATTTAGGAATGTTTGCATTGTCAGAAATACGAATATCGAAAAATACCTTAATGTCAGTAATGGTGACAACTGCTTTTTGGCCATTAATGAGATATCCATAGAGATAAAGAATATAATAAGAAATTTGATTAATGTATTCTTTAGCTTCTTTCACATCAGCTGGTATAAATAGGATATCTTAATAGTTTGCTATTTCATTATTAAGAGTTGAAATCAATCTCTTATCATTTCTTACAACTAATTTATCACGAGTTGGAATACCTATCAAATAATTCTAAACTTCATATCTGATCACTTGGCCTATCATTTTATCTTTTTCAGCCTCTATGCGAAAAAGAGCAGGTATATCGAGAAACTCTAAAAATTCAGAATGTTCAGTCATTTTTTTGAAAGATTTATAATTATACTAAATCTCAAGGTATATTATTCGCAAGAAAAAAGTTTAAAATGAAATTAATTATCTGAGATTATTAATTGATATACACAAATAAGAAGCAGAAAAAAGGTGATACTTTGAAATTTTATTATTGTCCATATATTCTTAAGACTGGCGAAATGTATAATCAGAGATGCTATAATCCAAAGGGATGTAAAGTTCATCAGGATTCTAGACAAATTGCTTGCAAAGAAAGCGGATGTGAAAAGATGACAAGATTTAAATATGACTATTATGATACGTATGCAAAAAAATATAGATTGAAGGAATATTACTATCAGAAAAAGCTGGCTAAATAAGCTGATGATCCCAAAGAGATTCTGCTCAAGTAATTTTAGGCTAATTGAGAGAACTTAAACAAGAATAAAAAGTTGTCACTATTCCTATGGCCTTTTGGACGAACTCAGTTCGCTGAAATTTCTTGGTAACACACTCTTGGTGACGCTTTTAGTGATAAAATTTATAGCTATTTTGCATTTTTAAAGCCATTAAAGGTTTCTAGATAGGTGTCACTATATCACTAAGAGTCACTAAGAAAAATCAGACATTTTTATTTATTTATTTATTTTTTTTAGCATATATGTATCACACATATGTCATATATTTATCATATTATATCGCATATAAGCCGTAGGGATAGCATAAAAAAATTTCGATTTTTTTTTTATAACTTTACTTTTTCTTAGTGACTTTTAGTAACATAGTGACAGATATAAAGGAAAATAATCCAGCATCTCTAAACTTTGAAAAAAGCATACAAGGATGTCACTAAGAGCATCACTAATAAATTTTTATAGTGACAGGAGATTTCATGATGACAAAAAATCAGGATATATCCTAACCATGATTGGGCTTCAGAAGTGCTTACAATATCCTGCCAATATACTGGAAACAAATAGGCAATAATTGAGTTGCGAAACAGTGCACTTCTGACAATCAAATAGGTCGGCTATAGTAATACATATCATACCTCTAAATTGATGAACTAATAGAATTAACTGAATTTGTTATATTATATAACAGAGGGTGTAACAGTATCACGTGACTATGAGACAGTAAGATACAGTTAAAATTCGCTTCATAATTTTGGTCAGATCTTAGAGCATAAGAAGATGGTATCTAAGCTGGCAAATTATCAGTTTCATGACAGTTTCATAGTAGCTACTAGGTCACTACCATAACGCCAAGCTAGAATTCAAAATCACATGTCCTAAAGATTGGCCAAAATTATAGTATAGTGCTGGCTGAAATCTAATTACTGTGTCACTTGATATGATATTTTGTTACCACATTTTAAGATCTAGAAAGGCAACAAATAGGCGCAAAGGGTAAGCACCTCAATATAAAATCTAGTATTCAATCAGACGTATGAGGCAAACACCTACATTATAAAACTAGATATCCAAACAGCTATAGAAAATTAACAACCCCATTATACAATTTAACATGTAAATAACTCAGAAACAAGAAGAAAAGCGTGGTATTTAGATTATATACTGGTAGTTAGGTTAAATAGTGGGTGGTAGTTAGATTATATGGTGGTAAAAAATACAGATAGCAAGAAAGATTTAAAAGGATAGCTAAAGCATAAAAAAGATACCCAATACATGAAAATAAATAGATTATATGGTGGTAATTAGATTATATTATTTAGATTATATGGTGGTAATTAGATTATATCATTTAGATTATATTATTTAGATTATATGGTGATAATTAGATCATATGATGGTAATTAGATTATATGGTGGTACCCAGATTATATGGTGGTAATTAAATCATATGGTGGTAATTAGATTATATGGTGGTATCCAGATTATATAGTGGTAATATAATCTAGGGTAAGTGGGATACCACCATTTAATATAATTATATTAAATGGTGGTATCCCACTAAAGGAATTGGCCTTAAAAGAACATGAAATTGCTTTAATAAAATAAGAAGTTAAAATTCATTTAATAGAATGATTTAATTATTAAATAATAGCAACTAATTAGAAAACTGAATATTTGTTTATTAAATGCAAATTTTTTTGTCAGAAAATTTAGGGAATAATAGTTTTATTTTATAATAATTTTTATTACTTTACATATAATATATAAAGAATTTTTTTGATATTTTGATGTTTAATTTGTTTATAAATTATATATTACTTTTTTTATAAATATTAATTTTGATATTTAAAATATAATTTACAATCGTACTATACACAATTCGTTGTTACATACAATTGAGTACGAAAAAAATATACAACTCACATAACATATTCTACTCATCATCTCCATCATACAATACCCCATCATATCAATATTTGTATGATATATGTATGAAAAAAACCCTTATACAAATATTTCAAAATCATACTATACTGAAAAGTAGAAGGACTAACCATTTAAGGGTTAGATATTATTTTAAATGAATGTCGTAATACATGATAGATAATCAACAAAATTATCGGATATAAAATCAGTTAAATGCCATGTTTTATCAAAAAAACTATTTTCACTTTACAGCTTTTCATATTTAACTTTGAAAATGGCTTCTGTTTCAGAGACCGTTCAAAATGATAGTGGAGTATGGGATACCAGAGTTCAACAATTTCACGGTGGTCAAGACTGGAGATTCTTGGACAACTTTGTCGAAGACTTTTCAGTTACTACAAATGCCTTAGGTACACCTAAAGCCGCGTTAGAAGCAGCCAAAGAGGCAGTAAGTTTGATTGTATTTTGATTGATATGCCATCGTTGAGGTTCTTGTGACAGGATATATTAATTGAGTCGCTCGAATTTCTTGTAGGTTAATACTTGTCATCATTATCCACCTGCAGACCAAGAACCCGCCAAAACTTCCCTGGCCCAATTCATCTGGCCTGATGATTATTCCGTAAATCATGGTAGATTACTTCTTGGTAATGGTGCGAGTGAATTGATCGATTTGGTCACAAGATCTGCTCCTTTAGGCACATGGAAACCTGGTCCGTGGGATGTTCAAGTAACTTCAAATATAATTAAATTAATTTTTTTTGTTAAAATCTCAAATGAAAAGTGAGCTAATTAATCCTTTTTTTTATATAGTACAAGGAATATGAAAGATCGGCAGAAACTAATGGAAGGGCCATTCTTCAACCTCAAGATACCACACCTGCCAATCTTACGTGTATCGTTAATCCTTGTAATCCGACTGGTGATTACAAAAACATTATAGAATTAAAGCACTGGATTGATGATAATGTTGCGGATGGTGGTTTTGTTATCGTTGGTTAGTATTGATTAATTTACTTTCAATAATCATTATAATAATTATTATTATTATTTATTATTTTTAAATTAACAAGCAAAATTTTTTCTATTTTGGAATTTTAAAAGATGAATCAATGCAACCTTGGTTATCACCCGATTTCCGAGCCGATTCTCTTACTTCCCAAAATGAATTCATTGCCATGCTTTATCAAACTAGACGAATTTCAGTTTATATCATACATTCATGGACAAAAATCTGGTCGTGTACTGGTTTACGTTTAGGTTCCGTTGTATGTCCTACTTTAGCACATTGCGAAGTTTTAAAAAAACTTCAAGTACCTTGGAGTGTTAATTCCCCTGCACTTGCATTCTTAAATGAAGTTGTCAAAGATGCTGCATATATGGAACAAACTTGGGAACTTACATCAAAATGGCGTGCTGAAATCATTGAAAGATTAAAACCTCTGTCAGATAGTATCGCACAAGCAATGAATGATGAAGAATTTGCCTGGAAATTTTACGGAAAAAGCTTTTTATCATGGATTTGGATTGATACAAAATCTAAATCAATAGCTGATCAAGTGGTTTTTAGAGCCAGAGCTGCTGGTGTACCAGTTCGAAGTGGTTCTCCTGGCTATAATCGTCCAACTTATATTCGTGTAGCAGTTCGAGAACCTTCCAAAGTTGATGTCTTGATGGATGCTTTGCGAGCATTCGAATTAGAAGAAGAAGAATAAATTTATTTACTGTTTTTTTTTTTTTAATTGCAATTATATTTTTTTCAAACTACACCACCTTGAATGCTAGAAGTCATATTACTTCGTCATCGGTCCTATATATTTGAGACAACATTCTAAAGCTTCGATTGTAATAGTTCGACATCATCTTTTCCACCTTATGAACACAAAACAATTTTTTTATTATTATTTGTTATAAAATTACTTCTACTATCATTATTTTAATTAAATTGTTACTAAAGCTTGACAAATATAGAATAGGATAAATTTAAATTATAATCAACCAATAAAATTTCAAGTTTTTGTGTAATTAAGAGGTTAAATTTAGAATAATAATTTTTTTAAGAATATTAGTCAAGTAAAAAGAGATTAGAGAATATTGAAGAAGAAATCTGTGAAGAAACTTTTGAAAAATCCGAATAAAACATTCTAAAAGATAAATATTATATTATTTTCTTTTATTATAATATCCAATATAGAAAAATATAAAAAATATTTGTTATTAAAATTAAAATTATTAAATATAGTAATGTAATTAATAAAATTTAAATAAGTTTTAAAACTTTAATTTTATATTAAAAATTTAATACTTTTTAATATTTTTTTTTGATAAATATATTCTATATAAATATTAAAATTTAATCTATTATTTTTATATTATTAAAAAACTTTATAAAGTTTTAATTATAAATTGATACAAAAAATTATTAATTAATATAAATTATTTTTTGTTTTTATTTTAAATTTATTTTTTAATTTTTAATAAATAGTTTTTTAATACAGGTATTTTGTAATAAAAAAAAGAAATCATAGTAAAATTGGTTTTTTTTTAATTCACAAACTATTAAAAAATAAAATTTTAGTTTTTAATATATAATCAATTAGAATGTTTTAATGATTTTATTGCTTTTAATATAACTTAATATTGAGCAATTTTCTAATTTAAATACGTAATAAATAAATCACGTGAAATTTTTTTAAAAAAAAATTAATATTAAGGGGTTCGACCAGTTAATTTTTTTTTATATATAAGTATGCTTCGATCAAAGATATTCTCTCGAAACCTCTTTTCAAATATCTTGCAATATAAAATCGATATAGTTTTTCCTCCAGTTTCTGTTTATGTTAACAATCTCAATAATGTACAGAAAAGGTTTGCAGGGCATAATAAATGGAGCAAAGTCAAATATGTAAAGGGTCCTAAAGACCTTGAACGCGGAATTTTATTTACCAAACTCTCAAAAGAAATTCAACTTGCAATAAAACGTTGGTGTTTTGGGCATTTTATATTATACCGAATATTTTTTTTTTTTTTCTTTGGTCCGAATATTCATATTATTATTCGACGTAATAAGTGGGAGGTCCTGATCCCGCGTTAAACGTTCGCTTAGCTGCTGCACTAGTCAGTGCCAAAAGAGCACACATGCCTAAGGATAATGTGGAAAATTCAATTAAAAAGGTTTGTATGAATGAGAATTTTTTTAACATTTTACGATATCGATATGTTAAGTTAAAATTATCTATAGGCATTAGGTCAGGGAAAAGCTGAAAATATCGAGAACATAACTTATGAAGGATACGGACCCGGTGGAGTCGCGTTTATAATGTATATTATTAACATTTCATGTCTCAATTGTTTTTTTTTTTTTTAAATCTAACGAGTTTTCATATAATTAAAATTTATGATAGAGAAACTGTGACAGACAATAAAAATAGAACTGTTAAGGACATCAAACATTATTTTGCTAAAGCTGGGTACGAGGTGAATCAATCCTATTTAATTTCACTAAATGGCTTGTTCTGTTGAATTTTTGAATTCATTAAAATTATCATACTTGTTGCGATATTTCAGTGGATCAATGTCAACTGTGTCTTGGATGTTTGATAAAAAAGGTATGATCTAAACGTATGCATATCAATTACATGAATCTTGTCTTTCGTTAAAAGTTTATTATTATTGATGATGAATAAAGGTACAATTCAATTCAATCCGGGTTCAACGCAAGACACAATTGACAAGATGATGGATAATGCTATAGAAGTTAACGGGGTTGAGGATATTCAGGAGTTAGAGGATAATTCACTAGAGGTATGGTTAAATTATAAATAACACTGTGATTCTCAAATTTTCGAATTCTCGAATTCTCGATTATTATTTTAAGCATTGTTCTCCACAGATCACGTGTCCACCGTCATCCGTTAATGCGATATACGAGGAATTAACGAAAAAACATAATTATGAAGTTATTAGGACGAGTAGTGGATATATCCCCACATCAACCGTTAAAATAGATGAAGACGATAAAGAATTAGTGGAAAAGTTTACCAGATTTATGAACAATCTAAATGATCATGAAGATATTGTTAAAGTACATAATAATGCTGAATAAATGAATTATTTTATTTTATTTTTTTTTTTTAAGAAAAAAAAAAAAAAAATGTCAAAGTTTACATGCATTATTTATCAAACAAATTGAACGTACATTTTAAAATTTACTGCTCATATTTCAAAGGCTTTTGCGCATCAATACTAACAACATCGGATACTTTGATATTTAACTTTTTCTTTTTTAAAAAAAAATCAAATTTTTTTTCTCGAAATTTGAAAGCGAAAAATTTCCTTTTCTAGTTTTCTAATTTCTATATATTTTATATATAAGTATTTTATATTATAAATTAACACATGGAAAGAATTATTTAAGTTTATGGATTAAAAAAAAAAAAATAAATAAATACACACAACAGTATATATGTAAATCTCCACGCAAAACACGACATAAAACATACAATAATCCCATTCAACATTTCGATAAATAAATAAAAACCGTGCACAAAAAAAATAAATCCCAAAGAAAAAAAAAAACTCGCATGTATGCATCACTTTACATCTGTATTTATATTTTATATATTATTTACTTTGCATAAAGATGACTTCCTGTTGCATCTAAACACCAAACATGTGCATCATTCTTTTTTACAAGTTATAAGATGAAAAAAAAAATCATACACGAAACCAAAGCTAATTTAGGTTAATGCTAAATGTCCGACGCAGTTTATTATAAAGAAAGTTTAGTATTAGATACCCCCCGATTATGCATAATTTAAAGGAAAAAAAAAAAATAATCATTTACTTTTTTTGATTCTTCACATTGATTTTACATTTAAAATAGTTTAGTTTTTCAAAAAAAAAAAAAAAAAAAAAAAAGCACCAACCATCTATCTAATATAATCTGTCAAACAAGTTTGACTTTTTTTTACGCCACTCGGAAATTCAAACAAAAAAAGATTTTGATCAAAAAAAAAAAGAAGATAAAATAGGCCTGAATTGGAAAAAGGAACGCCACTTGACCAAAGAAATCATAACGTAATCGATTCCAAACAACCTTTAACAATTCGGATTAATGCACCCGAATAAACGACTTGTTCGTCATTGGTTTAATCAGATTGAGGGAAAAAAAAAAAAAAAATTTCTTTATATCTTGCATATCAGAAGTCTTAACTGTGCATATCATTAACTCTATCATTTGATAAATTTCACTGACTAACTTATTATAAATATAGGTAACGAATTTAAAATGTACTTTATAACATACATCATTAAATTTTACTAATTAGATTAGTCAGAATCCACGCAATAATTAAATTGTATGATGTATTCCCCTCATTTTTTTTTTTTTCACACAATGTCGATTTGCCAAGTTACCAATTTGAGATCAATGCATTATGCATGCGGAAGATCCACGCTGAATCGAGTTAAGCGTCAAATGATAAAAAATTGGGCGGTAACAAATCCTGGGTGTTTAAAGTTTTGACCAAGAAAAAAAAAAAATGTCGTTCAAAGTGAATGCGGTATTACACCGATACGCGATGTGTGCTACTATTTATAAAGAAAATGATGATGTACAAAAAAAAAAAAAAAAAAAAAAGAATTAAGAAGGTTTTATTGTAAAATTGTTTGATTGACTTGTTTATATTTATTTTATTTTTTTTTAAATGCACTTGAATATGTAATGTAATCAACTTAAAGATTGGTGATGTTCACTCGGTTGCGAAAATAAACTGTTCATGTCAGGGGCCAACCGTGGGGCTGCATTTATTAATTTATTAAAAAAAAAAAAAAAAAAATTTAATTTCCAATCATCTACTTTTCAATTGAGTCAAACATTCAACTTTAGTTTCCACGTGCAACCAAGTTCACTCAACTTCTATAAACGAACCTTCTTTATATACCCGCTACAATTAGTTACACTTTGTTACACATCATAAATATGATAATACTCTAAATTGGAATACAGGAAATTAAACTCGTTAATTTCAATAGATGATGAGATGAATCACCGACAAGACAATAAAAAGTCCATACAAATGCACATGCCTTTACATATATCAACTGAACATTTTTTATAGCGTCTTTTTATTTTCTTATTTTTTTTTGATCAAAAACAATAACTTGTTTAGATACAAGTTTTTAATTTTTCTTTATTTCTTTTTTCTTTCTTGTTGCATTGAATATAACCTTTAAATGCAAAGCTGATACAAAGATGTGCATATGAAATCCCGGGCAAAAAAAAAAATTATCATACATCATGTATTCCAAATTTTATTATCTAATTTCGTAAAGTATGCGTTTGAAAAACGCTACGCACAATAACAATAATCTTGTCTTTGCATTACATTTGATTATATTTCCGATATATAACCTTAACCTTTTTTTTTTTAAAAAAAAATGCCGTTCGTCCATCCCTTTTGCCAGAAATTCCGATGAAAAAAAAAAAGACAAAGTAAATGCACAATACATTTATTATTGTTATTATTTATTTTTTTTTTTTTTAAAAAAAAATAAAAAAAAAGTCTCACGAACCTTAAAATGGGCGAAATGAAAAACCCGATTGAAATCCGGAATGAAATCAATACAGTTTTTTTTTGTTTATAATAAGGACAAAAGTAGAATCATATTGTGATGAAATTTATATTGCGATTTTCATAACATACATTAAATT